AAAGAGTCAGTACATATTTATTGATCTTTCATCCTCGAAGAGTTTGCTTTTGTGAGAGGGATAGCAATCGGAAGCCAGCTAGAGGCAAAATGACTTCCAATTTGAGATTCTCCTCCAAAAGGACCTACACTTTGCAACATAAAGAGAGGGAAACATGAGATAAGGGTGGTGTGGTAGGAAAAAGAGCCATAATCCCGTAGCCCTCACATGGAGCGTACGTGGTATGATTCAGATAATTTGAGAGAAATTAGAAATTGAATGACGGATTGATGAATTATCAAATCACGATTTGAGTAATTTTGAGTGAATTGGTGAATTGAAAAATATTTTAACCAATTATCAAGTATTTACATAATATATGATACTAATTTATATAATATTTTTTACATATATAACGCAAATTAATTTTACATAATATTTTATATATATATATATATATAACTACTAATTTGTAATAAATTTTACATCTTAAATCTCTCACATTCATTTTTATTTTGATACTTTATTAGAAGTTAAAAAATATATAGGTATTAACTATAGCGGAGTGAAACGGTTTCAAAGGCGGATTATAAATTTTAAAATTTAAACCGCAGTTGACAGATAAAGCGGTGTGAATTGATGTGAATCGGTATAATTTTAACAGATTAGGCGATATTTTACACAGCCCTATGAGACATTTCCTCTCTCATTCAGGCACTGTCTTTGTGTCCCTTTCTTCTGTATTTGTTGTAATTATTTAGGTTGGATTTGAATTTTATATTTGAGAAGTTATTTGTGAAGAAAAATGAAAATGAACTTGAAAATTTTTGAGTTATACTTTATTCATATTTGTCTTTAATTTTTTTTTTTTATATATTTCTACTCAAATTTAAAATTCAAACATAATCAAAAAGACAATAGCGAGGGACTTTATTTATTTATTTTTTGGTGTAATGGGAAAAATATCTAAAAATTCAAGTATGCATTCATGCCAAAGGTCGGCTCTTTTTGAGAAAAATTATTCAATAGTTCAGATGTATTATACTCTGCATATGAACGTAACAAAAATCTATTGCTTTGGTTGATTTGAAACACTATTGTGGAGATTATGCTATAGAGATATTTTTTAGGATAAATTTTTTCCTGGTAGAGTTTGAGTCGTGTGCAATTTATTTGATAACGTTTATAGATAATTAAATAATCTCTTATAATTTATGTATTAAAGTGTACCGTTAAATCCGTTAAGGATTTAATAAAACGTATTAAAATATTCATAGATTTTCGTTAATTTTTTTAAAAGTAAAGTACATTTTAATTCATAGACTTTATTTCATATGATTTATCCTGTTAAACTTTAAAAATGAATATATAATTCCTTTATATATATCAAGTATATTATATTTATTATTAAATTTAATAAAATATTTAATAATATATTTTAATTCATAAATCACGTAACGATTATGAGACCATGCTCAAAAACACATTAGTCAAATAACTCATCAAGGGAAAGTGGAATTTATCATATTTTTTAATCCGATGTGGGTAGATGTTACGCGTCATCTTTTCTTGCTGTGGGTAGGGTATGTGGCTTACTAAAGTCAAGTTTGGAAAAACTAAATAAGTGTACTTTTTTACTTTTTTTATATTATATATAGAAAAAGTAGAGAGGAGATGTTGATTGATGTGACCCAAAAAAGATAAAAAGATGAAATAATTACACTTTTTTAAGTTAGCCAAACTTGACCTAATAGTGGAAGGCATTACATTGATTACATCTATGTTGTGTGTGAGCCTACTTTTTCCAAATAATTAGTACTCCTTTTGCGATGCTTTCAATTGATAGAATAGGAAAATAAAAATCATTTTATTTTTGCGCACTTGTCTGTTTATGGGAAAATTTTCCCTCAAACACTTTCTTGTAAAAAGTAAGGATTATGTATCACAAGAAATTTTAAATCATTTTTTTATATAATTTTATTTTGTAAACTGTATAATTAATAGGAAAGTAAATTAATTATATTTTTTCTTTTCTTTTTAGATTCATTTTTCTCAAAAAGAACATTTTCCTATGCAATATTCTTCATAGTTGAGCGAAAGAGAAGCCAATAATTGGGAATAGTGTACGCAACTTGGGGTTTTTTTTAATTTATTTATTCATTACTATATATATATATACAAAAATGATTTATTCATGGAATTGAATTTGTCTGAATTGTTTAAATTTGTACATATCAATCGATCGTCCAGATGATCACTCGGTGCAACACTTATCAACTACACCTATCACCCTTTTGTAAATGACCGACCAAACGACCGACATTCACAAATTCAAACTATTCACACAAACTAAAATTCGATAGATGTAACATTACTTATATATATTTATATATATATATGTATTTAAATTTCTTGTTGGTTCATCTGAAGTATGTAGGACAATCTTCACTGTATTTAAATAAATTAAATTATGTTGTGTACTAAACAACAATCAGAATATAAAGAAATAAAGGAAATGAAAGAATTTGTTTGATTACAAAAATCAAACTCGAAATAAAAATAAATAAATAAAAATAGATTTTATTTTGTTACAAAAACAAAATTAAAATCTGATTTAAATAAATAATAATAACACTGAAAATAAATTAAATAACTTACTTGATTTAATTTCTTCGAATTATAATATGATCAAGTCCAGTGTTTGACACTGTGTCCTTAAGACAGATTCGTCCTCTCCACGGTGCTTTCAAAATTTGGACGTCTATCTCCCAGGATAAAATGATCTACTACAAACAATAGCAGCACTACAAATTGTTTGCCTTACGAACACACTAAGTGTTTATACTCTCTCTGACAAGAAAATAATGCAGCAAAATGAAGAATAGAAAACAGAAGTGAAATACGAAATTTCTGAATTTCTTTCAGTAAATAAATGCAGCAAGATGCAGAGATTTATAGCAGAGGATGGAGTACGAAAATTGGTGTAAAATCCAAATGGGAGGCTAGTCTATTTATAGATGTAAAGGTGGCTGTTGGTTTTGAATTGAACAGGTATAAAACCTATTGGTTTTGAATTCAAACAGACTTGAATCTGTTGGGTTATATTTCAAACAGTTTGGGTGTGCAATAATACCAAACTGGTTTATTTCGGGAAGGGCCTGTTTAGATGTGCAGTAAAACCAAACCAGTTTAATTTTGAATTATGGATTTTATTTTACCAAAAAATAAAATTAAATTCAAATGTTTTTTGCTCAAAAAGATTAGTATTGGGCCAAACAAGCCCAACCCAACATCACACCACACACCCGCGCCCAAGCCCAACCCAGCCCGCCCAGACGGCGGCGCACGCGTGTGGTGATTTTTTTGGTCCAATGGGTCTAGCCCATTTTGCCCATAACCTCTCCCTCTAAAACACTTGGATACCCCTTAGGGCACACCCCAAGTACCAAACCCAAGCCTTATAAACTCATTCAAAACTTCCCACCAAATCAATGTGAGACAAGCCATTTTACAACCTTAAGGAATTTCCACCAAAACTCCATTTCCATGGTGCACACTTTGGCTTCAATTTTCCATTCACTCGGTAATGGTTTTGAGCAACCAAATATACCACGTGAATCACAACGCGGCATAGAACGCGTTACCACTTTGACCCGTGAAAATCGACGCACGTGGCCCACCTAAAAAATAGACCGAACTTAGGATAAAATTCTGGTTTTACCCAAAATTTATAACCATTTCCAACAAAGTAATCATAGTGTGCTTATAATTTTTTTGTTTTTTTTTTTCCCTTAGGAGTCAATGCTATGCTATTAGGTACAATTTTCGTTTACAACTTATTAAACATAAATAACTTAAATAAGTTGAAAAAAAAATTATTATCACTACAAAAAAATTGACTTTTTGCGACGGTAAAATACCGTCGCTAATACTCCTAATGCCGTCGCAAAAAGTTTTTGCGACGGCAAAATGACTTTTTGCGACGGCAAGAGGGGGTCGCAAATGGAGGGGTCGCAATAGAGTTTTTGCGACGGCACCGTACAGTCGCTAATAATGTTTGAAATTTCTTGACTTTTTGCGACGGCACTATTTTACCATCGCTAAAAATGTTATTTGAGACGGCAAAAAATACCGTCACTAATAGTTTTTTTTTGCAACGGCAAAAACATTGTTTTTGCGACGGTGTGGTGCCGTCGCAAAAAGTATTAAAAATATGAAAAATTTTATTTTTTTTGTGACAGTGTAATACCGTCGCAAAAAGTATTAAAAAAATAATAAAATTTCTATTTTAAATAATAAAATTTCTATTTTTTGCGACAGTTTAGTGTCGTCGCAAAAAGTAAACCTGTAACAAAATCAATAAAAATAATAAAATTTTCTGTTTTTTGCGACAGTGTAGTGCCGTCACAAAAAAGAAAAAAAATCTTCCAATAAAATTATTAAAAATATTAAAATTTCTCCATAATAATTACATAATAATATAAAAAATCCAGTATAAGATAACAATTTCTTCATAATAAAATATTCTTCCATTCATAATTACACATCAACAAAATTATCCCACTACATAATGTTCCATAATTATCCTCCGATAAAATTTAAAAATATAAAAGAAATGAAAAAAATAAACACTATAAATGAATATAAATTACTTTTTTCTCCATTTATAAATTCACGATTCAAACAGAGCAAGAGTTCACAAAGGTAACCAATGATCACTTCTGTTACTTAACTCAGTTTTAATAAAAAGACTGACAATGTCCCCACAAATTCTTCATTCCACTTACAGTTTTGATCTTAAAATTTTCACCTCATCCCACAAAATCTTTCCTTTTTGAGTCGCACAATCTCACATATTCAATTCACCTGCAAGCTTGAAGGAGGGTCGAATGTTTCATCACCATAATACAAATCTGTACTATGAAAATTGGTTACAAAATATTCAACCCACAGTTTTCCTCAAGGTTGAAATATGGAGGGACACAGTATCTAATGTATATAATGGGAAAATAAAAATTTTATTTTTTTCAACTCGTCATCCCGTCTGGTTATTTGGATTTGAAAGCCATTCACAAATCGAGCTGAAGGAAAGAAAGACATCCGATCCTCCTTGAGTTGGGTCTATCTACCAAAATAATTTGCAGTGAAATAAGAACTTCATTTACAGCATAATTTCTTCACATCATCCACACAAAAAACAATATGTATATAATCCATCATATTTATAAATAAATAATGAGACCCACCATTAATTTTTGAATGTGATGTGTCCTACATGAAAATATGGTGAAGTTTATTATGTGGATTTATCTAAGAAGTTGAAGAAAATGGTGAAACGTATTTGGTGATATATATATATATATAAACCCTCAAAAAACAAACCCATAATTTGAGGACATCTTTTACAACCATTAATTAATGCAACATAATTTTTCTTAAGTTTTTTATTTTTTATTTTGGTGCTACATAAAAGTCTGCTTGTCTGTATAATGTTTTTCACAAGTATTTGAGGGATGAAAATAACCTGTATGTAGTAACGAAGTAATGAAGAAAGAGAGCAATTTGAAGGCGAGCCAACTCTACCCATGGACAAAATCGAGCTCCTCCTCCAAACGGAGTATAAAATGGACTGCTTCTCCAATTTCTCTTTTCCTTTATATAGGAAACAAAACAAAAACAAAAACAAAAACTGTCAATTTTTATAGAGTAATGCAAACTGATCAAGGATTACACCTGAGGCCATGCTAATTTGATATTTGATAGATTAAATAGAAATTCTAGAATTAAGAAGGGAGTAAATAAATCAAGGATAATAACCTTTTGTACTTGGGTCAATCAACTAGGCCCTTGATTGGACAACAAGCCACACTGAATGTCTAGAGTTGCTTAGGCTGTCTGGAAACATGGTATGGTATTGTAACAACCCTCACACTATTTACCGACTAAACACTGTTTACCGACTAATGACTGACTGATTACTGTTAAACTGAATTGATCATGACTGATAATTGAGCTGATTAAAAGTACTGAACTGACTGACTGGAGTCTGGAATTAATTGACTGACTGTATCTGTTTAAATGCATAACCTATCTGTTTGATTGTTTGATTATCTGTTCATGTTTTATGTTTAAACTGCCAATTGAAGACCTTATCGGCGGCCGAACCGGGAATCGATTAATGTTTTATAATCCTCATAATTAATGTGAGTTTATGGTGTATTTACCTGAAAACTGATTAGGTATGACTAAATTAGATTAAAACAAACTAATTAAAGAGTTAGGCTTAATTACCAAATTGCCATTGTTAGTGGGCCTCCTATTATAACATATTAGAGCCTTGTGCACACTTGAAACAAACATTTCCTCAGCCTTGTTTGATGCTCTAGCCGACCTTAGAGAGAGAGAGGAGCTAGAAGAGTTGAGTTCAACTTGTTTCATGGTGAATTGGCTAGAATTGCTTAAAAGAATCGAAGGTTGATTACTAATTTGAGCTCCCTCACTTCTAATTCTACACCTAAGGTAGATCATTCATCATCTTAATGGTGTCTTTGAGTTGTTCTTGCATGATTCATGCTTCATTGTAGAACTAAGTCATGAATTGGTTCATTGTTGTTGAATTAAAGCTTAATGGTTGCATGCATATACATATATTGAAGTTTTGAGGTTGTAGCTCATAATACCTCACATGCATGTCCATCTTTTGGTCATACTCCATGAGTTCATCTTGTTTTTGAAGGTTTGAGCTCTTTTGAATCAGCACTAAAGCTTTGAAGATGATTTAAGATCATGCATGTCACATTTGAGTTGTTGTTCTTGAAACTTGGTTTGAAATCATGTTTAATTGAACTACCTTTGGGCCTTGATTTCTCAAATTGATCTTTGAAACATGCTATACTATGAGTTTTGAAGTGTTTTCCAGAAAATTAGCCCAAAAGGATCGAATTTGATGCATTGGAACTTGATTTGAGCATTGGAGTTCAAATCTGGATTTTCCAGATTTTGGTCTCCCGCTCGAGCGGGGAAAGTGGCGCTCGAGCGGGGAATTCGAGCTCCCAGCATCTTGCACTGTTTTACAGTCCGCTCGAGCGGAGTAATGTACGCTCGAGCGGAGTCATGTCTCAAGCTCGAGCGGGCGTCCAGCGGAGATTTCGCCCATCCAGTACTTTTACAGTACGCTCGAGCGGGAAAGTTTACGCTCGAGCGTGTACCTTTGTTGCATGTCCGCTCGAGCGGGGAAACCTAC